TCGAGCACACTCGTTTCGAGTCGATAGGTCCACTTCGGCTGGCTTGGGAAGCAGTCGACATGGTCCAGCAACTTCCTCTCCCACCTCGACTCTCTCTTTCTCTGTTCGCCCCACGCTTTCCTTCCTGCCCTTACATCCTTCGATTCGAAACATCATCCACGTATTCGGGAGCAGAAGTGATGCAAATTTTCGCGGCCGGCATTCTCACGCGGAGTTGGGCAAATGTGATTTCATTACCGGACTGCGAATATTTAGGCAATTTCTGGCTTTCGGGAATGAATTTGTGGTTGCTGAAACGGAAGTTTGTTTTTACTGTAAGCTTCCGTGTGTTTGAAATATTCTGAACATTATAAGGATTTCTTTGTAACGCTTGTGTCGCTGCGTGCAGTGCAGTAAAAGATCTCTTTAATCGGTTAATTGCGTTTAACCAGTATGTACGTCATGTTAAACGTCGGAATGGTATTTATGGTTTCACGATGAATTAGTTATTCTATCTGATACACGTGTAATTCTTGTTCGTTTTACTTTGGAATATATTATAAGTACGTTCGTCCTACATTTTACGAATATATACTTCTTTGTTAGATTTTACCTCAGTTAACACGTTAAACGAAACATCAACTTCAAACGTGTAAAGTTATTGTGTAAAGAAAATAGAAAAAGTCTACTGATTACACGTACTAGCGGCGATTTGAATTAATAGTAGCTGATTGTATTATAAAACCGTCACTAATCTACCATTGAAATTGAGGTGATTACAGTGAGTTCTAATTGGTAATTACAAACGGGAACTTGCAGTTAAATAGAAGCTGTATTTTAATCATTATTTTCAACCCGTAATCGGATTATATTTCACTCCGTTCACATGGTCGGTGAGAATCGGTTTCTACCTGACTTCTGTGAAAGTTGACATTTAGAAGTTGCTTGAAAGGTTGCCGTTACGATTCCATGAATTAGAGTTACGCAGAACCTGAATTAACGTTCTGAATACGTGCGGCGACTAATCCTATGATATTTGTGGTTAATATAAAAATATTATTTCATTATGTAAGCAAGCAGAAACCAGTTTCGAAAGAAAACGTGTACACAGCATGGAAGAGTGGTTCATGGGAAGTTTGCCATGTGTTCTGTCGTAGCAAGTGGAAAACGTGAGGTTTACTTAACCCTAGAAGCTTTCGATCGAAAACAAAACGTACGATCCGTTGGCTCGGTGTTCTCTGTTTGCGCGATGTTAGTATAAAAATGGTATCGAGCCTGCAACGGTAGCACGCGTGCGTGTGCAGACCATAAATATAAACGAGGCACCGTTGCACGAAAAAGTGGGAAAATGAAATTTTCGAAATTTTGATACGAGCATAAATATCGTTATCGAGTGATGCGGAACGAAAAAAAAACCGGTACGGGAATGTGACGGTATTTACGCATTCGAAGTTTCAATAAAGATCGAATTACAATTGGATCAACAATTTACCGAACTTCCGGCGGAAAATCAATATCGTGTACGTAAAAATAGCGCGAGGGGGTCCGGGGGCGGGAACGGGGAGGCACTGTGGATACAGTTACAAACAATTCGGCGGAATAATTAAATACGGGAGACGAATACTTTTGGGCAAAACAAATCACTGAAAAATCCAATGGAGAATAAATGCATTTAGTATTGGAAGGTGAAAATGGAAATGGATCGTCCCGATTGATGAAGCACTTTTTGTTCAGTCGCGTAGGCGGGATGCGGTGAAATTTTATTTAATGGTTCTCATGTGTTGAAGCCGGTCCCTTTTTGAAACAATGGTCTTGATGTAATCGAGGAAAATCCTCCAACTGCGGCAGGAGTTTCAGGTAGTATTAAAATCATTATTTCCGTCTCTTGGCATTCATACGGAAATAAATAGGGTGTGCGCGCGGAGGGGGAAACGGGTGGGGGCATAGGGGCATATTACTTTCGAGAGACGCGGAAAATGGACTCGCGTATACACCAAGCAACGTAGCGAACGTATGGAAACGAATAGGCGGAAATATTACGTTCAAAGTGAGAGAGAAGGGTCGAACAAAAGGTGGGAGGCAGAGGGGCTACGAAAACGGGTTAGAGCAAGACAAAAATTGTGACGTTACGAAGTTTGTATGTAGGTTGAGCCCGTTCACTCGATAATTATCGCAGTTGTTCTCCCTTCGACGTTTTATCGGCCGATTGACCTTCGCATTTGAGACTACATAAAAGCGTTCGGGTATAAATAAACCTCGTAGTCTGCTTGAAACGTACCCATGAAATGAAATGGTCGTGTAGGTAATTTTTAAGCGAAGGGTTCAATTAGGAATAATAATTATGAACGCTTTTCTCGTTTCGTTTTCAATCGTTGATATGTATTATTTTTTAAATAAACAGGATA